TTTTTTACTACCCAATTTTCTAGCAGCCTCAATTGTCATTCTTGCGCCTGAAGACTTCTTTTCTCTCCAAGTTAGCTGGGCTGTCCAAAACTCAGATTTGTGGAAAAACAAATAAAACTGCTACTTTCTGGCAAACAGCAAGAACTAAGCATGCAAAGGCCTCACTATGAACAGCTCGGGCTGTAACAAGAAACTAAACCAAGTTTTCAATTTGGAAAGGAATGTAGGGTGGGCCCACCTTCTGATGAGCCACAAATAGGGTGCCTTTCAGGAGTGGGTTGTTGACAGATATGCCACTGTCTTCTGGTGACTATTGATCATCTCATATCTCACAGCTGGGTCACAGACCCACTACTTAAGGGTCCCACAATATATATTATTGGGGGTTAAGCAAAGCATACAATGACTACCCTGAATTCATTCAATAGTAACTACCCTGATTATAGAGGACAACAGGGGCCCCTGGAGAGCAGAAAACCTCAATAAACTGCCACTAGTGATGACAGCAGCTTTTCCTCAACAGATCCAACCTCAACACAATGTAAACAGACTCTATTCACCTCCTCAGAGATAGCCGTTAACTCCAGGTGCCCCCATCACAGCCCAGAGGATTAACCCTGTTACCAAAGGGCTCAAGATCCTTAAGCCTAAGGCTAAAGGTTTAAACTGTGGGTACCCAGCTGCCACTTCAACACCCTGGAATTGCAAAGAGTGGTGCTACAGCAGCCCTTTGATGAGGTATGGGGAGAGGGACTATATTTTATTTATCTCTGACACTAGAAGGAAATTCAGTTAAGGTTCAAATTCAACAGCTTCGCACACCTGCAAACTATTTGAGGCCCCAGGTACTTGCTAGCTGGGTCACCTCCGCTTCATTTCTGTTTCCCAGGTACACATATACTAACAATAGAAACAATAGGAATTGTCTAAGTAGTGTGTTGTTAGGCCAGAATAAAGCCAAGCCCTGAACCTTCCCATGGACTGCTAAAGCAGATCATTATCAGAAGGGCAATGTGTGATATCAATTGATTATCATGAATATCCAACAAACAGTCAATATAACACAACACATAAGTGAGTGCCCCAAATAAAGTCAACGACATGTTGGCTCCAGACATCATGTGAGCACTGGATAAGTGAAATCCAAGCTGCAAAACCCATCTCTGTGGTCTTTCTGGAAATCAACTAGGGAGTCCTATGTGATCACACCCTTTAACCAAGGAATGCCACTTTGGGGACTATGATCCAAGATATATTTTAAAAAGACAAATAAAACTGTGTAACTTGTAAATGGTCTACAGAAACAAGTTGGCAATGGTTGATCACAGACCCACATCAGGGAAAAGGGAGATAAGCATGGCTTGTTTAGACAGTGGGATGCTGAGACTTCAGCAGGTTCAGGGCTCAAAATCATGAGGACCACTTACAAAACTGTAGGAGGTCAGTTAAGTTCAGAATAGGGACCCACAAACTTAGAGAATTAATATGAAGCTAGAAGCATCTGTCTCTGTAAACAGCTGGAAAATTAGGCAGTCCTTGATTTTTCTGGTTGTGGAAACTTCAGTTGTCAACTTGATAC